GAGGCACGATTTTGCTCTGCTGGCTTGAGTTCGACCTTTTGGGTGTAAGTGTATAAGTAGACACGGGTGTCAAGCTAGCTGAAACCATATCTTTTGCAAAGCCCGACGCAAGCGCAGGTGCTCAGCGTGGGAGGAGTCTCTCTGGGACACCAGAGTGCTTTCGAAGAGCGGGCCAAACGCCCACTCTCAGCTGCTCCCAGGCTTCGGCGGGGACTCTGCCGCAACCGTCCATGTTGAGCTCCTGGCACTCAGAAGTGAAGACCGAACCTCCACACGTGGCGCCAACGCGCTGTCATGTAAGAACTATAAGAACTCTTCTTAAGACGCTGACAGACCTTTATAGTCAGAGTTCAGGGCCGGTTCTGCATCCAGCCCTCTTGGACCTTGCACCTTCGTCTTTGCTCGTGCGCGGCAGGGGAGGGGGGGGGGAGAAGGCTTTTGCGGCCAGATGCCTCATGATGCCGAACCAGGAAGCTGCGGAACCTCTAAAAAGAGATTTGTGGGAGCTCTAAAAAGCCAATCGGGCGTCTAAGCAAAATGCCTCAAGCGGCTCGGATCGCCACTATTCCGCCAGGAATTCCGACAAAAAAAGAGGTCAGGGTGCCCAGTATGATTCCAGGACCTGCGGGACCTCTCTCTTTGCTCGGCGTGTGTCCTGAAGCTCGCTGCAGCGGGCCAGTGCTGCGAGGAGAACGGCGGCCCCCTCCGCGAATTCGGACAAAGAGAAGCACCTGGGCCGATGGTTCCCACAAAAAAGAGGGAGCGAGGGGGGTTGTGGAGGGAGAGAAATGCGCGGAAGGACGGGCCACCTCAAAAAAGATAAACAGGAAACCGAAAACTCCCCACCCTTCCGAGGCACCTATCGAAGTTGGCTTTTGTCAGCTTCTCCCAGCGCGCGGCCTCCAGCTGCCGCCAGGCCTCCGCGGGGACTTCGTAGCAGTACTGCATGTTGAGCTCCTGGCGCCGGCCCGAGGGTGCCCCCGGAGGTGCATCGGGGGGGGAATGGGTCGCATGTGTGCAGACCTCGGGGGTGGCTCTTTACTGGGAAAAAAAAGCCGGCTCGAAGATGGACATCATATAGAAGTATTATAGAAGACTTAAAAAGGAGGCGGGTCAGTCGTTTACAGCGGTTTCATGCCCTCATGATGAAAGAAAACGCATTCGTCCAACCATCTAAAAAAGCGGAGGGGTCGTAGAAAATCACATGGCAAGTGTGGGGAGCATCTACAATGGGCTAGAATGGTGCGGGCACCATCGAGAACGAAAGAAAGGAGGCCGGACACACATCGCCACATCGCCAAGGCAGAGAGGGGAAAGGTTGCAGTTTTTTGTTCTTTTCGCGTTTTGCGCCTGAGCCAACTAATCCCACGTCGACTGTCTCTTGAGCCCTTCGGAAGCTGGAACCGTTCGCGGGGGTGGCCGGGGCATTGCAGCATCACGAGCATCAGACCCCAAAGGCCTGAAAAGTTTGGAGCGCCTGAATTTTGCAGTTCTGCGAAAACAAGAGGTCAGGGCGCCGTCTGAATCCAAAACCCATATGGGATTTCTCTTTTTGCTCGGCGTGTGTCCTCGAGCTCGCTGCAGCGGGCCAGTGCTGCGAGGAGACCGGCGGCCCCCTCCGCGAATTCGGACAAAGAGAAGCACCTTGGCCGGTGGTTCTCACAGAAGAGGGAGTGGGGGGGGGGGGGGGGGGATTGTGGAGGCTCAAACAGGAAACCGAAAACTCCACCCCTTCCCAGGCGCCCAAAGAAGTCGGCTCTCCTCAGCTTCTCCCAGCGCGCGTCCTCCAGCTGCCGCCAGGCCTCCGCGGGGACGTGGGTGCAGTTCATGTTCAGCTCCTGGCCGGGAGGCGCATTGGGGGAATGGGTTGCGCGGCTCGGTTGGCGCTGAGCAGGCCACCGATCGAAGAATTGGTTCTTCTGAAAACGCCCTCTGAAAAGCCTCAAGCGGCTCAATTTTTGCAGGGAGTCCTTTGACAAAAAGGGGCTCAGGGGTGATGAGTCTGAATCAAAAGACCTCTTGCTCGGCGTGCGTCCTGGAGCTCGCTGCAGCGGGCCAGTGCTGCGAGGAGAAAGGCGGCCCCCGCCGCGTCTTGGGAGCCATCTTCGAAGCACCTGGGGCCGGCGGTTCCCACAGAAGAGGGAGTGAGGGGTGTTGTGGAGGGTGAGGATGCGGGAAGGACGGGCCGCCTCAAAAAAGAAAAACAGGAAACCGAAAACTCCCCACCCTTCCGAGGCACCTATCGAAGTTGGCTTTTGTCAGCTTCTCCCAGCGCGCGGCCTCCAGCTGCCGCCAGGCCTCCGCGGGGACTTCGTAGCAGTACTGCATGTTGAGCTCCTGGCGCCGGCCCGAGGGTGCCCCCGGAGGTGCATCGGGGGGGGAATGGGTCGCATGTGTGCAGACCTCGGGGGTGGCTCTTTACTGGGAAAAAAAAGCCGGCTCGAAGATGGACATCATATAGAAGTATTATAGAAGACTTAAAAAGGAGGCGGGTCAGTCGTTTACAGCGGTTTCATGCCCTCATGATGAAAGAAAACGCATTCGTCCAACCATCTAAAAAAGCGGAGGGGTCGTAGAAAATCACATGGCAAGTGTGGGGAGCATCTACAATGGGCTAGAATGGTGCGGGCACCATCGAGAACGAAAGAAAGGAGGCCGGACACACATCGCCACATCGCCAAGGCAGAGAGGGGAAAGGTTGCAGTTTTTTGTTCTTTTCGCGTTTTGCGCCTGAGCCAACTAATCCCACGTCGACTGTCTCTTGAGCCCTTCGGAAGCTGGAACCGTTCGCGGGGGTGGCCGGGGCATTGCAGCATCACGAGCATCAGACCCCAAAGGCCTGAAAAGTTTGGAGCGCCTGAATTTTGCAGTTCTGCGAAAACAAGAGGTCAGGGCGCCGTCTGATTTCTCTTTTGCTCGGCGTGTGTCCTCGAGCTCACTGCAGCGGGCCAGTGCTGCGAGGAGAAAGGCGGCCCCCGCGCCTTGGGAGTCTGTCTGGAAGCACCTTGGCCGGTGGTTCTCACAGAAGAGGGAGTGGGGGGGGGGGGGGGGCATTGTGGAGGGAGAGGATGCGGGAAGGACGGGCCGCCTCAAACAGGAAACCGAAAACTCCACCCCTTCCCAGGCGCCCCTCGAAGTCGGCTTTTGTCAGCTTCTCCCAGCGCGCGGCCTCCAGCTGCCGCCAGGCCTCCGCGGGGACGTGGGTGCACTTGTCCATGTTCAGCTCCTGGCCGGGAGGCGCATTGGGGGAATGGGTTGCGCGGCTCGGTTGGCGCTGAGCAGGCCACCGATCGAAGAATTGGTTCTTCTGAAAAAGCCCTCTGAAAGCCTCAAGCGGCTCAATTTTTGCAGGGAGTCCTTTGAAAAAAAGGGTTCAGGGGTGATGAGTCTGAATCAAAAGACCTCTTGCTCGGCGTGCGTCCTGGAGCTCACTGCAGCGGGCCAGTGCTGCGAGGAGAAAGGCGGCCCCCGCCGCGCCTTGGGAGTCTGTCTGGAAGCACCTTGGCCGGTGGTTCCCACAGAAGAGGGAGTGGGGGGGGGGGATTGTGGAGGGAGAGGATGCGGGAAGAAACCGAAAACTCCACCCCCGCCCGAGGCGCCAAGAGAAGTCGGCTGCCCTCAGCTTCTCCCAGCGCGCGGCCTCCAGCTGCCGCCAGGCCTCCGCGGGGACTTGGGAGCAGAACGGCATGTGCAGCTCCTGGCGCCGGCCCGAGGGTGCCCCCGGAGGTGCATCGGGGGGGGAATGGGTCGCATGTATGCAGACCTCGGGGGTGGCTCTTTACTGGGAAAAAAAGCCGGCTCGAAGATGGACATCATATAGAAGTATTATAGAAGACTTAAAAAGGAGGCGGGTCAGTCGTTTACAGCGGTTTCATGCCCTCATGATGAAAGAAAACGCATTCGTCCAACCCTCTAAAAAAGCGGAGGGGTCGTAGAAAATCACATGGCAAGTGTGGGGAGCATCTACAATGGGCTAGAATGGTGCGGGCGCCATCGAGAACGAAAGAAAGGAGGCCGGACACACATCGCCACATCGCCAAGGCAGAGAGGGGAAAGGTTGCAGTTTTTTGTTCTTTTCGCGTGTTGCGCCTGAGCCAACTAATCCCACGTCGACTGTCTCTTGAGCCCTTCGGAAGCTGGAACCGTTCGCGGGGGTGGCCGGGGCATCGCAGCATCACGAGCATCAGACCTGGTCCTCCAGCACCCTGCTGCGGCACTGCCCTTGGCACTGCCCCCCGCTGCTCACTTGCACGTTGTGTGATGTTAACATCCGCGGGTCGCGGGCCCGCCTCGTCCACGGCGAAAAGGAGCAGTATCACCAATTCCTCGAGGCCCCCGGGTTCCGCAGCTTTTGTGGCTTCCTGGATGTTACCTCGGCAGCGGCTCGGCAAGGACCCTTTGCAGGGACCTCGGGGGTGTTTGGAAGGCCTCTGAAACTTTGCCAGGGGATCTGGTCGACTTGACAGCCCTACCGAATTCTAGCCTATAGCTCATGGTGTAAGATTCAAGCAGCCTGCGAGATGAGGAAACTCCTGCGGACGCGTGCTACGTAGCTTCGCGTCCTCCTGCCTGCCCTAAGCTGAGCTGCAGGCCCTTGCACCGCATCACTCTCTTGCTTTCCTGGGCCAGGGGGAGAGGTGCGCAGAGGGACCTCCATGTCACACCACCACCAGACTCTGCGGCGCCTGCATGACGAATTGGCGCGCTTCAGCGGGGTAGGGCCGCCCGGGCGGCGCGAAGTTCTTCAGGGCTTTCAATGTCGAGGACGCGTTGAACTCAGAGGCACGGAATTGCCTTTCGACCTGGCACGCCCCAGCAACAGCAAATGAAGGCTTACTTGGGATGCCAAGCTGTTGTACAACTTTCTGCTCTGTCTAAGACCCAACAAACCCATGAGCTTAGGGGTTCGCAGTTTTGGGGCCGCTGTAGGAAACTTAATTCTGGAGCTGCGTGGTGAGCTGCAGGGGCAGCAAAGAAAAAACCCTTGGTTTCAGGAACAGTGTAGAAGTTCCTGTTGGTGCCTCCGTGACACAGGGAATACTCGATGCAAGCGGCACGGGCAGAGCAAAGGCACCAGATATCTGCAACCATGACATGCCTCCTTTTTAAGCTTTAGGGCGAGCCAACATCACCGTTATCATAACGTATCCCAACCCCCTCACCATCTGTGTTCTCCGGCGCCCGTGTTCGATGGTTCTGGGGCCTTTCGTGGGAGCTCTCCCAGCTAAGTACAAGAAAGGCTGCAGGATTCCAGGCAAGTTCGAGGCCCGCACAAGAAAATCAGACGTTTAAACCAAAAGCCTAATTTTCCAAAAAAACCAAAAAACGAACACACAGAGAGGGACCAGGAAACCCTTAATCCTAAGCCCTACAACCCTGAACCCTATAAAGCCCTAAACCTTTAGCCCGAAAACCCTAAACCCTTGCTTGTGTGTGCTTTCCCCCACGCACGCCCACCGGACAACAACGCAACAGGCGGACCTCCTTCCACAACGTGTCGTCATCCTTGAGATTGAGCATCTATGCGTGCAGTTGGGGTGCAGGGTCTGCGGTTGTGGTTGAAGGCTTTTAGGGTTTTCAGGGTTGCAAGTTTTAAGGTTTCGGGTTTGCAGAAGCCGACTTTCGAGTTGTGGGGTCAGGGTTCAGGTTGCATACTTCCAGAGCCATATATGATGGCAGAACCACTGCAAAACACTGGAAACCAGCCGAACGGAGAGAACCAAAGCACGAAGCTGCCAACGCCCGCGTGATAGAAGCAGCGCTTCCAGCAATCTGCCCAAAGGAATGACCGCATTCCTCTGACGGGCCGCTTCGCCTGGTTGGCGCAACAACCACCCAGCTTCAACCGCAGGCCTATCTCTCACTCTCTATAGCTCGATAAGTTCATCTACATAGGTCTTTAAGTCTATCCTGGATATCCAATAACCACCCCCCAAACAAACCGATCCTGTACCAAGGTTTAGGGCTTTGGAAGCTTTTCTTTGAAGGCCTCATGTGGGCAATAAAGCATCATAGTTTTTTGTGGGACCACTCAAGAGAACGGAATGCTCAGAATGCGAACTCCCTGCACCAAGTCGGGCCTGCCTGCCTCGGTCAAGGGCACCTGCTTTCACTGGGGCTTCGGCCTGGGCTGGGTAGCCGACGTGGCTGGTCATGGCCACGGGAGCTGCAACCTGGTTGCGACTTCAACCGTCGGCTTCAGGAAGCTCTATAATGCCTGTTGTCTTTTTTTACGGCAAATACCACTGTTGAATCTTTCAAAAAAACGGCTCAAAGAAGAGGGTTGTGGTCACAGCATCTACACTGTCATGTCCTACGTTTGGTCGGTATTGCCGCATTGCCAGTCCATTTACAACAACTGCGCTTTGCATCCCGAACCCAAAAAAGAGTCCCAAAGCCTGGCTCGGTAGCCTGGGAGGATTTCCGGGCTCGTGGAAAGTCCGGCCCTTGAGACTCCCGCGAGCGGCTTGACACCCCTGCCCGCAAACCTTTCAAGGTGCAAGGTTAGGCTCCATGTACCCATATAGTAGATACTTGGGCTTTAAAAGGGTTCCTATAAGGGTACCTTAAGGCCTATACTTATCTACTATAAGGGCACATGGAGCCTTAGGGTTAGGGTTTGGTCTTGCGCCCCTTCCAGCCCGGGCCGCAGCTCCGTCCTGCAGAACGCTCCCGTGCATGTGGGATTCACAATTCCAGGCGCCCCCAAGTTTTTGATTTTCGAATGGCCCCTTCAAGTATCCTTTCCGCTCCCATTCGATTGTCCCTAGCACAGGTAGAAGCAAAGGCTACTGACTCGGGCATCCTCCTTCCTGAAGAGGGGTGTGTGTCTATTGAGTGAGACCCGAGCACAGAGCAAGAAGGTGAAGGAGAGGAAGGGAGAGCGCCTCAAAGGATCTGAGCGTGTCTCTGCGCCACACTCTGAGACCCCTAGACGGACGCTTTCAGGTGCAAAAGGCTGAGGGCTAAAGAAGCATTCGCTGCTGACTTTCCTGCAACGAAAGATCGATGATGACTAGTGACGGCGCCCCCCCTCAACAGCTCTGGCAAGCCTCCAGTCAGCAAAGCGGGCATCGCGAGCATGCAATGGGGTTTAGGGTTTAGGGTTTACGGTTTAGGGTTTAGGGTTTAGGGTTTAGGGTTGCATACACTGCAGCCTCAACTGGTGTCCCCCGTGTTGCGGTTGCGTTCGCCTGCTCGCGCAGTAGGAGAGGTTGAGATCTGGGCTTAGGGTTTAGGGGCTTGTTTGGGGTTTAAGGTTGAGGGCCGGGTTTAAGGTTTAGGGGCTTGTTTCATGTTTTGCCCCGCCTTGCCCTTGCGCAGCTTCGCCGCGATCAGCGCAGCGATGTCACGGGCTGCAAGGAGATTCTCACCTGGCGGGCATCTGAGAAGCGATGGCAGATGGCCCCCTGGGTTTGGCTCGGGGGCATCTGCATTTTGGGTTCTATGCTTGCCGAAAAAGGCCTAAATGCGGATGCCCCACCCACCGGACCCCCTTTGGAAAGTTTCTGCATTTTGGGCCGTATGCCTTTCGAAAAGGCCAAGATGCACATGCCCTGGGCTTACACGGCGGCCGGATGGAAAAAAACACAAAAGGATCCACAAAAAACACAGCCGAGGGTTTAGGGTTTAGGGTTTAGGGTTTAGGGTTTAGTTTCGGGTTTAGGGTTTCGGATTTGGGGTTTGGGGTTTAGGGTTTAGAGCTAGGGTTTTGGGTTTAGGGTTAGGGTTCGGGTTTAGGGTTTAGGGTTTAGGGTTTAGGGTTTAGGGTTTAGGGTTTAGGGTTTAGGGTTTAGGGTTTAGGGTTTAGGGTTTAGGGTCTAGGGTCTAGGGTCTAGGGTCTAGGGTCTAGGGTCTAGGGTTTAGGGTTTAGGGTTTAGGGTTTAGGGTTTAGGGTTTAGGGTTTATAAGGGTTTATAAGGGTTTAGGGGTTAGGGTTTAGAGTTTAGGGTTTAAGGTTTAGGGTGTCTAGAAGGGAAGCTCGCTGGTGCCAACAGCACCCGGCCGTTCGCTTGCGTTAGCATGTAGTTCCACCCCAACCACCCAAACTAGCTTCCAGGGGCGTCCCAGTCTCAAAACGAGGAATTGTAGCCGGGTTCTGTGGGCGGGTTGTGGGTCTGCCTGGGGCCGGGGGGGTGTCCCAGGCTTACGCCCTAGTGTCTGAGGCGTAGCCAGGCACTGCAGGCCCCCGTCTACCGGGAGGCTTTACTCTCCCTCACCGTTCTGTGGAGCGGTCGGGGACCTCGGTCGAAGCCTCCAGCCCCCATGCAAATGGACAGCGGCGCTCTCGGCAGTTTAGGGTTTAGGGTTTAGGGTTTAGGGTTTAGGTTTAGGTTTATAGGGTTTATAGGGTTTATAGGGTTTATAGGGTTTATAGGGTTTACAGGGTTTATAGGGTTTATAGGGTTTATAGGGTTTATAGGGTTTATAGGGTTTACAGGGTTTATAGGGTTTAGGGTTTAGGGCCTATATAGGGCTTAGGGTTTTTTGTTTGATCCTTTTTTTTGTTGTTGATCCTTTTTTTTTGATCCCTATCCCGGCTTACCCCCTCGATGCCCTGGGTTTGCGCCCCACCCACCCCCTTTGGCCATCCGCGTTTTGGGCCACATATTTGCCGAAGGGCCAAAATGCGGGTGCCGTTGGGCCTTCCTGTCGCATTTGAGGCTGCATGCCTCCCCGAAAAGACCGGGACATTTTGGGCATCCGCAGTTTGCGAAAAGGAGATCCGCGCATTTTGGGAAGAAAATAAAGGCCAAAGGATGGGCTTGCACCACCCCCCCCCCCCCCCCCCCCCCCCCGCCCCCGGCCGAATGCTCCCAAAACGACCTCTAGATCTCGCCCGAGATCCTGAGAAACCTGGGCGGGGCAAACCTTAAGAGATCCTGGAGTCGAGCTCTCAAACGCCATACTCGAGCATGTCGAGCTGTTCCGGATTTCACGGCATGTTGAGCTGTTTGGATGGTTCATTGAAGGTCCCAAAGTCATGCATACATTTAATTGTAAAGGTTTGTGCGCCAAACTGACACTTCAAGTGTAAGCAGGGGTCAACACCACAACAGAGAATGCAAAACACAACAACAAGGTCCTGCCCGACAGCGTTTTGGTTTTACAAGTATCTGGGTCTAGGTAAGACAGGTCCGGTGTGGTGTCCGATGCTTAAGGTCTCGGGGACGGGGGCAAGTGCAGCGCATTATGACCCGATTCAGAGGCAGCTCCTGGTGAGGGGAGCAACTGGCTTTTTTTGTTGCCTAAGCTAGGGCAAGGGCCCGGGAAAAAGAAATAAAAAAAACAAACTTCACACACACAAAAAACCCAAAGCCCTTAAACAATACTCCTTCTTAAACTCCCGCAAAAAATGCTCGCCGGGCTCGCCCGGCTCGTCAAGGCAGTTGATGTACACCGTGCTGCTGGGCATGGCGCTTTTCACAAATCCGCGGGCGGTGCCCTTCTTGTCGTACGGGTGGTCTGCACCGAACGGAGGCCTGGGCGGATACACCTTGGACACCTTCAGGGGCATGATCGCGAGGTCGCGGTCGTACGCATATTTCAGCTCCCAAAACGAGCTGTACTTCGAGCTTGTCATCTCACCGTAGTGCTCGGTGCACACTGCGAGAAGAATTCCCCGCTCCTCGTCAAGCTGGGAGAGGTACTGCATGGTCAGCATGCCGAAGTCTTCTCCGGCATCTGCCTCGACCATGAGCGTGTCGTAGTTGTGTGCTTGCAAGATTTTCTGGACCTGAGCTGCGGAACAAATTTCTGAACAACACCTGAGTTGCACCCTGGGCTCTCTACTCTTCCCTAAGGACCCGGAGAATGCCGAATCCTGCTTGCCTTTGCGATTGGGGGCGAGATGGCTCAGGGGAGTTCATACATTACGTTTGCCCCCACTCTCTGGGTGTCCGTTGGGGCGCGCCTCACGAAACTTCTGCTCAACCTGGCCCCCGTCGAATCTCGCCGAGAACATCGCGAGGCGAGAGCCGGCGCCATCGGGGATCTCCATTTGCCTAAGCCGAGCATGGGATCCCTTATATCTACATATATATATATATATAGAGAGAGAGTACTATATGAGATGGTATGATGTGATATTCTAGTATATTTCATTGTAATATAATATATTATTACAATACAAGACAATACAATACAGTACAATACAATACCATACCATATAATCCAATAGAATACATAATATTGCAGCCTCTTCTTCGATTCAGGGCTTTGAAATCCATTCTCATGCGCTTTGTTGGGGAGGGCGGTTCTAAGAGGCGCCATGTAGGGCCGACCCACTGCGCTTTCCCCCAAGCCAGGGGCGCGGCGGTAACTTCTGGGCCTGGCCCGGCGACGCGACAGTGCACGCGCGCAGCCTTGCATGACAAAGAGGTCTGCCAAGGCTTGGCAGGAAAGCCCGGAAAGTTTGGGGACATCCCTCTTGTCTACGCGAGCGCAGACTCCTGCAGCCTCTCACTCTCACAGAGATGAACCCGAACATGGCCCCCACATTGAAAACCCCGCCACCCTGGGCCCCTAAACCCTGTACCCCCCCCATCGACAACCTGGCACCTTTCAACCCGAGGCCACTTCGAAGCCCGCTCCAGCTCTCGAAGATTTCTGTGGGCCCCTTGCAACTCACCGAACCAGGAACTCAACAAACAATGTTGCCATCTCAGGGTGCCAGAGTGACCCAAGATCTTTTGCGGAGATCCCAAACTAAACCCTAAATCCTAAACCCTAAACCCTAAACCCTAAACCCTAAACCCTAAACCCTAAACCCTAAACCCTAAACCCTAAACCCTAAATGCACAAAGCTAAGAGAAGCCCCAGCCAGATGGGTTCGACCGCCACCCTTGGCGCGGGCTTTTTCAGTCCTCTTTGTAGTCTCTCGGGCTTTTATTTACCTCATCCTAATCCTAACAAGGTTTAGGGTTTAGGGTTTAGGGTTTAGGGTTTAGGGTTTAGGGTTTAGGGTTTAGGGTTTAGGGTTTAGGCGGCTCTCAAAGCATTGAGCCCCGTCGCGCCCCCGACACCAAGGCGCACTAAGAGCCCACCTAAACCCTGCAAGCCCGAGAAGAAACAGATTCAACCCCCAACAAGCAGCGAACGCCTGACTGCGAACTCATGGAATCAAAAATGCCAGAAGTGGCCCCCTGGCCTTCTGCGGCCCCCAGGCGGATCCCTGGATGTTACATCCACGGGCTTTTGCGAAAGCTATGTGGCTACAACCGTGACGACTGAGTTGAAGCGATCGCGTTCTGTGAGCCCTGCGCTTGCTGTTGCTGCTCGAGCATCTGCATGTCGCGTACACTTTTTGCCCCAGGTTGCGTGATTAGCTGCTCGTATAGTGCCGTCCCTACTGCTCTCCTTGCAAAGCCGAGAAGTGCTTCGGGCAGTCAACCCAGCTCAAACCGGAAAGAAGTTGCTTGTCATCTGCAGATCAGGCCCTTTCTCACATAGAACCTGGGTCTCTTCGGGGTTTAGTTTGGGGCACTTAGGGCTATCGGATTTTGCACCAGAGAGGCAGGGTCTTAGGTGTCCAGGGCCCCGACAAAGCCAAAGCTGGGAACCCATCACCAGCTCGCTCTCACCCGTGCAGAGCTCATTCATCGAGACGGCACTCCCCGCCTAGCATCTGCCAGCGATTCGCTGGTGGTTTCCCTCCCAGCTAACCTCAGACCCGCTCCCCCACCGCTGCCCACTCCATCGCTCCCTTACGCCTAGCTAGAGTCTATGCCCTTGTCCTTGGGCAGGTCTGTTGGTACGTGCCCGTTGTCCCTCGGCGCGCACGCCCGCCCCAACACCCTACTTGCATGGTCAAGATTAGACTCATGCTGTCTGATTTCCTCTTCTCGTTGCATCACCAAAAGGTCTTGAACACTTGAGAAGATGGTTTGCTCCAGCCTCCTGGCCCGCGAAAAGCTCATCTACAGAAAGCTCGGATCTACATGGTGGTCCAGTTGCTTTCGGTTGGGACCCTAAACCCTAAACCCTAAACCCTAAACCCTAAACCCTAAACCCTAAACCCTAAACCCTAAACCCTAAACCCTAAACCCTAAACCCTAAACCCTAAACCCTAAACCAAAGCCCAACTCCCAAACAGCGGCAACCCGCACAAAACCTACATAAGCCCAAACCCTAAACCCTACACCCTAAACCCTAAACCCTCAACCCTAAAGGTAATGGGGCTCCCTGAAACTTGCACTCGGAAACCCCCGCCTCTGGTGTCCTTAAGAGTCGACCCTTCCCCAAGCGGCGTGTCTCGTACCTCCGAGGTGCTTCTTGCGTTTTTTTAATATATCTCGCAAAGGGCGCGGGTCGTGAATGGGGTTTGATACGGTGTCATCACTTTTCTTTCAAGTTGTAAGACCTTCAGTAAGACCCTGTATGAGGTGAGAAGGTGCAGGGCTTCGGCATAGCAGCCTATACGCCCGAACCTGTTGATGCTCCAAGAAAATCTGGGGGACTGCGCTGAGTACTGCTAGGCTGCCCAGTAACCTAGGCTTAAAAAGGGTGCCCTTTTTGCTTAAAGGGGTTTATAAGGGAACCTAAACCCCCCAAAAAGGGAATAAGGGCACTACTGGGCATCCTAGACTGAACAATACCCTACACAAGGCCGAGAACTTCAGCTGGTAAGGGACCTTTATGGGGCTGTCGAATCGGGAAGAAGCGTCCAGCGTCCATCCCAATACTCTCCCCGCAAAAAAAGAGGGTCATTCAGTCCGTTAAAACAAACGCTGTACCTCTCCGAGCTCGATGCCAAGCCCACTGAAAGCTTTCTAGGGCTCTATGGGCATATAGGGATTTAGGAGGGAGGTGATCTACTTTCAAAGTCCTTGTAGATACAAAAAACCTTTTACGACAGAACTCATCCTAGAAGTGTCTTGAAAGTGGCCAGCCCAGTTGAAGCCCAATCTGCCTGTGAAACCCATGACGCAGAACCCATAACCACGCAAGCCAAAATACCTGCACGTGCAGACCCTCAAGGGTTTTGGGGATTCTGGGCCACCTTATAACCACATTAAATAAAACCCAAACTGATTTGAGCACCCCCCCTGAAGCGCTTTCTGTCATGGCGCCAAGGCACAGGGCATTCTCAACGCAGCCGTGGGCTTCAAGAGAGAGGAAGGCTCCAGCTCCCAAATGTTGGGCTTTCAAAGCTGAGTATGATATCACGCAGGTCCAGTTCATGCAGCTAACTCTGCTGTAGGTGGCTCCAGTTTGGAGAAAAAAGGTGTGGTCGATAAGCAATTGGGAGGTCCTTTTTGTTGGGACATTTTGATGTTGATTCAAGGTACCCAGACTTCAATGTCACCATGTCTTGCCAGCTGACCAAGTAGGTTGGGGTTCATGTTTTCAGAGCCTCCTTCCGCAAACATGCCGCGCGAGTGGCTTTGGCTTCGGATTCTTCGGCCGCTGAGGGAAAGGTGCTGCGTCTTGGCCCATGAGGACAGCTGACATTCAATGCACTTGGGGTCCTGGGGCTAGCCCTAAACCCTAAACCCTAAACCCTAAACCCTAAACCCTAAACCCTCGATTTCGAGTTACATTGGAGCTCCGCCACGGTGAGGCTCTTTTTTGCATAGCGCGTTCTGGCTCCGCGCCAGCTCCTCACATCAGCGCCACAAGGAGGGGGCTGGAAAATGCGCGTCTTCATGCGCAGGTGCTCGAGTCTAGCGACGGTATATAGGTCTCGTCGAGCACCGGTTTTGCGACGTCTCTTTTTGCCAGCTTTGGGGCTCTTGGTTTTGTTAGCAAGAGAAGAAACAACTCAATGAAATATACTGCGCAGCAAAGACAACATGTTATTATGGCTCGTGTCCTTTTCTGCCCGAACTGGGTCTATGGAGTTTATAATATATATATATATACATACGTGTATATATATATATGTATATATATATATATATATATATATATATATTATGTATAGATATAGAGATATAGCGCCCACCCACAGAAGCGCAGCAAAAGACGGACTTCATATGGTGGTGAGGCAGGCCATGCCTCTAAGAACCGAAGCATGCATTTTTGCATCCGAAGGTGCTCTCTGGGCTGTTCCTGAACTCGGTGTAGCACTTGGAGGTTCATGGGTACATATAACCCCAATTATAACTGTACTTATAAGCCCCCTAAATTAGGTTATAGGTAGATATATAATTGTGGGGTATAGGGCTTTGCTGTGGGGTTCGCATGATCAGGAACAGCCCAGTACTACTGAGGCTAGCTTGAAGACGGTGCCTACATGGCAAGCAACCGCGTGCATGTGGCGCAGTCGCCTAGAGCGACCACATGTGACGTTGCCCTCAGGCGGTCAGCGAAGTGATCTTCGAAAGACAGGTCAACCCGCAAGAAGCCCACAATGCGAGTATAGGCAGCTTGTAGGCAACAAGACGACTTGACTAAGGGCACACTACAGAAGGTATAACATTATAACCCAAAACCCGGGCCCTGTAAATCCGGAATAAGCCCATAAGCCTATATAACCTCTAAGCCTCAACCAGAAAAAGTCAGACTTAGGTACTTCTTGCGGGCCCCTTCTATCTTTCGAGACCACGGCGCCCGGAAGGATCTGGCCTGGCCACGGGCTTCCGCGGAGCTTTTTTTGGGGGGTCAACACAGCAAAAAAGGCCCCGAAGAACCCTTCAGGGTTTTGGGGGTTCCTGTAGCATAATTATTCAGGGTTTTGGGGGTTCCTGTAGCATAATTATTCAGGGTTTTGGGGGTTCTTGTAGCATAATTATGAAGGGTTTTGGGGGTTCTTATAGCATAATCATTTAGGGTTTTGGGGGTTCCTGTAGCATAATTATTCAGGGTTTTGGGGGTTCTGATAGTATAATTATGAAGGGTTTTGGGGGTTCTTATAGTATAATTGTAAAGGGACCATCAGGGAATTACTGTTTGTAATTAGTTTGGGGGTCCATCAAACATTTCCGCTTGTCAGCCCCATGTTTAAAGCCTTGAAGTCCCTTAAGCCCTGTATAGGCCCCTCCCAAAAACCTGTTGGAG